GGTTGTTCTTCCTAAAGTTTTGCCAGTCTTTGGGGTTGGCATCTTCAGAGGACAGCACTCTTCGCCAGTCTCTGTGGCTGGCATCTTCAGAGGGAGCACAGAGTGCTGTCCTCTGAAGATGCCGGCCACAGAGACTGGCGAAACGTTAGGAAGAACAATCTTCAGAACACGGCCAAAGAGCCCGAAAAACCCACAACAACCATTAGATCCCTGCTGTGAAAGCCTTTGTGAATACATAAAACAATTCCTCTTTTTTGGGACAATCTTCAGAACACGGCCAAAGAGCCTTCACGAATACATGAAACAATCCCTCTTTTTTGCGTGGGTGTAAGGTGAAGATTTATTTTCCAGAAGGACATCTGGGATGTAATAAACAGGCAGAAGAACACATTCAAGTGGAGGACCATGTGCTTCCCACAACTGTTCTAAGGACTCTTTATTTAAAAAATGAAAACACCCAGGAAGGCTACAAAAAACAAGAACATCACTTAACATTTTAATACATTATATCATATCCCCATTTCCATCAATTATCATCACTTTCAAAACCTCATGTATAGCATTATAAAACAATAACAACAGAAAATGGGCTATTAAGCTACTTAGCTAGAAGGCAAATACAGTACTCCTTGGTAAGTCTGCATAGGATTTTGAGGTTTTTTTCTTTCACCTGTATTGCACTGGCTCAGTTCAATACAGGACCGTGATGGACACGGTCTTCTAAACTACAGTGTTAATTTCAGCCTCCATCTGGTCAAGATGACTGGCCCCACTGATGTAGGTTTAAACTGCTGGAAAGGACAACCGGCTTTCTCTAGAAACCTGCTCTGAAAGTCGTGGAAATCCTCTGGAGAATATTTGTGACACTAAAGAGAGCTGTAACCGGATGTGGCTTTTAAAAGTACTAATTTTAGTGGCGTTGGATATACAGATACCCCAGCGGCCACTGGAACTTGGCCGTGAATAATACAAGCCTTATTTCCAAGCTTTCAGAGTCCAAGCTTTCAGGGTCTGGAGCCCTCCATGCATACCGTTACTCATGGTGAGCTTCTTTTAGCTTGTACAATGGATGTGCACAGGTTAGTCAGATAGGAGTCTTCCTTTCCTGGCCCCCAATGAATTAATATATTGCCTGGTTTGGAATTTGGTCCAGCACAGGCTAAAATGCTGTTGTGTGTTGAGTGACTACCAATGTTTCTTCTAGGCCTTGCCCAGAGCTCCGTGAGGGTTGCCTGTGGGCAGCCATTTTGTTTACGTCCCATTTCAAATGAAGCCCTGCTGACCCCTGCGCACACAGAGCAAGGCTCCCGTGCAGCAGGACAGAAAACTGGAGGGAATGTTGGTATTAACCTAATACCATGACCACAGTTAAGCACAAAACAATGCATAGTTCAGTCATAATAAAATCAGTTCTGACTCATGGCAACCCTTTCCAGGCAGAGAATACTCAGAAGTGATTCCCATCCCCTTCTTCTGGGGATGCCCTGGGACTGCACACCTTGCTCAAGGCCACACAGGCTGGCTCTTCTCCCAGGAAGTGCAGTGGGGAATCAAACTCTCAATCACTGGCAGACGTAAAGTGCTGAGCTGTGGAGCCAGCTCTTAGTTAGCCTCCATGAATTTCAGTGAAGATTAAGTATGTGTAGCTACAAAATATTCCTCTAAGAATATTCTGACAGCAAACAAGAAGGCATAAAAAAAAACTCTGAAACAACAAACAACTTGGCAAATTACCTAAGGAGTTCAACACAGCTAGGGATATGAAGATATAACTGATGTAATTAAATTTTAATTTGATGTCACACAACAAAGCTGTTTTCTAAGTGTTTCCAATTTATTCATTTTGAGGTTGCTCCACATAGAAAGCCTGACTTTATTTGCAAATCACAGTATTAGAAAAGTACATGTGTACACAGGTTTATCCATTAAGGCTCTGTTCATGATCTCAGTTCAGTCCCGATGGGCTCAGGTAGCCAGCTCAAGGTTGACTCAGCCTTCCATCCTTCCAAGATTGGTACATTAAGTACCCAGTTTGATTAGGGGACAATGTGTATCCTGCATAATTAAACTGTAAACCACCCAGAGAGTGCTTTAAGCGCTATGGGGTAGTATACCAGCAGCACATTTTGCTATGTTTAATAAAAATACTCAGTATTACTCTAGAGCCTTTTAACTCAGATGTTAGTGGCTCAGTTCAGACACAATAACAATGTTCTATTATGACAAGCATAATCAGAAGCATGCTCTCTCCCCTCTTTTCTTCCCTTGCATATGAAAGGCAGGCAGAAGTGAAGGATATTAGAAGCTTTTTTCTAATCATCAGCAAACCAGTTTGCCATTTTGTCCAAATATCAAAAAAATGTGGATTTTTAAAAACGAACATTTTTAAAATCGAGAACTAAACTCTGATCCTAAACTAAAAGCACATCTTGACATGGTTTGGGATCCTGGCTTGAGAGATTCTGAACAGAAGCCAGGACATCACTTTATTCTAAACGTTAACAATCTAAATAACTATTTAACTGGGTTGTGTTGGCATGCAATAAGAGATCATCACAAGCATAAATCTCCATGAATTAATATTCTTAAGGAAGATGTTTAAAATCAGTCAAAGCTGAACTGACATATGATTCAGCAATACATGGTACCCAATCCTGCTAGGAGGTAAAAAGGGAAACAACATCAACCAACGTCAAGATTATTACAAAGACACACTTCACTACAAATTTTATATGTGATTGTTCAAAATGACCTAGCTGAAACTTCACTTTAGTGACAACACTAAAAAAGAAACCATGGCAATAATGCCTCTCTATATTTTCCCTCCAGAACGCAAACACTGGGAAGGAGCTTTGCTTCAACTTATTTTAAAGGAAAAATATTGCAGAGAAATCAGACTGTGGAGAGAACAATAGATTTGGCATTCGTGATGTATTCAGGAATGCTTTATCTGGAAGAGTTTTGTTTTGTTCCAGATACAGACGTTTAATTGGCTTTTAAGTACTGTTGCATCTGAAACAAAGCAAGTAATGGCAGCATGAGTAGTCACATGAATAAATAAAAAAACACTCTGGATTGTAGTAACATTGGTGCAGAACCTGGAAATGCTAGTGGTTTGGGAGTTTTGGAGAGGAGCTAAAATGTCTTTAGACTACAAAATGTTGTTTGTGGATCCTGGGAGATGGAGTCCCCCAACAGTAACTTACCTAATTTTATAGAGCACCAGAATTGGCAATTGCTCTAAATTCTAGCCACTAGCACTTATACTGAGGACAATATTTTTTTAAAAAAAAAGTTGGGGAATGCTGATATATTTTCATAAACCATAGTATGAGATCCTAAGCACAACACTTTTTGCTTTGGCGCTGTAAAAATTAGGAGGTAATTCCAGTTGGTAATCCCAGATAGAGAACACCCACTGAGACTTACACAAGTGTCTATGTAACATCCCATTCATTCAATAGATCTGCTCTTGGGCTAGCAATTAGAACTAGCCCTAACAAATTTGTAGCATCATTAGCTGTCATAGGCAAGAAGCTATTTCATCAGAGGCATCTAATAATATGGTTATAGGCTATAAAACTGTGTACCAGAAAATATTTGTTAGTACCTTTAACCCCTGAGGCATTATTTAATAGACGATGGTCTCTGACCTTGATTTCCTCTTTGGAGCAACAAGTTAGGAGTTAATGAGCCTTGAGTAACTATAATGTATTTGTTCACCTCCCAAAGATATAACTGGGTGCCATTAAGGAGGTGGGGGTGGGAAGCTCATTAATAATAGACAAGCTTACCAAGACAACAACATAGAAATAGCCTTGTTACCTTCTTGGTTTTCAATCTATTAATGAAAGGGACTTGCTAACAATATCTGATAGAGAACAGTGGGCAGATATGAGGGGGTTACAAAGATCATTGCATTGCAATGATTAGATGGAATATATTGATTTTAGAGAGTAATGGAGATGGGCACAAACCGAACCACAATCCCCCCCCCCAAAATGAACTGGGCTGGTTCGTGGCTCAGTTTGGGGAGCCTGTTTTGCCAAAAAGGGGTTGCCCGCCCAGTCCTCCTCCCACTGTCCCCACTGGCTGCCACTGCTGCCTCTTCTTCCATGGCCAGTCCTGCCACCCTCTGGCTGTGAGGATCGCGGCACAGGAGGTGGCAGTGGGGGCAATGCCTTCAAGATGAGGTAGAGAGACAACCGGGGCAGTGGGAGGGGTAGGGGTGGGCAGGCAGGCAGCTTCTAGCTATATTAAGAGACAAATAACATTGTCACTCCTACATTTAAGCGGCACCATAGAAAATGTGGCAGATATCAGCTCTGCTCTAGTCAAAGCTTGAAAAGTTGACTTTTAAAACTACAAATCCCAGAATTCCCTACTCATCAGTGGCCAATGGGAGATTCTCAGAGCTGTACTCAAAAAAAGTCATTTTTCCAAGTAGCAGTTCTACTTGCAATGTACAATACTATAATTCTATGAATTATTGAGATGGCAGCCCTAGAGAGAAGTCTGCCTGCATATGTGAGGGCTACAACTCTACTGTATAAGGGGCAGGAGGG